AGCATACAGCATTATAAAAAATTAAGTGGTATTTTCTTAAATAATGTAGAAGTGTCATTACATTCCAAAAGTCGCTGCTCTCTCTCAAACCTATCAACAAAACAATACTGAGGGAAAGACTTTTCTCCTAGACTGAAAAATAAAGAAAATCTGGTAGTAATTAATCTCCACAGAGAAAATGATACATAACTATATGTGCAAAACCAACAACAGGATCTATAATAGGTTTCCCCCTCTATGCCAAATTATCCAAAACACTACAGCAACATGGTTGAGTCAGTAGGACAGTATTGAGAGAGTTGGGATAGATTGTGTTCTCTCTCATAAACGACCTGTGCAACTTCAACCCAATCACTGCTTCAAATTCCTATCTAAAAAAGAAGGAAATTATTCCATATGCATACCTCAGAACTCATAGGGGTTCTCATAGCAATAACCAGGACAAAGAAAAGAATAGTACCACCTAGGGACAGTTAAGTACATTTAGATATAGAAAGCTTTAGAAACATCTCTTAAAACTAATTTTTCACATGGATACAGAAATATCATTATCCAGATCTTATAATGTATCTCAAAAATATATTCAGCATYTTTCTCATTGTGATTATTTCCATGTAGAATTACAAAACATACAAAACAGTAGACTATAACAGGGATATTTTGAAAATGTCTTGCATTTTCACATCCAAGATTTTCCTACATTTATTGTTTCCCTTGCCTGAGGTCTCCCTTATCTCACACTAGCCTCATATGTTTCATACGACTATCAYGTACAAGGCCGATCGCATTTCAGATAAAAGCCATAGCCTCTGTGYGAAGCACAAACATTTTGTTGCCATACAATGCAGACACCATAAAGCAGCACTCAATCATAGCGTCCGAGAGTTTATATTGTCTGAGCGCTAAACACTGCCAGTAGCACACTGACAGCAAGTCAGAAAGGAGTAAATAAAAACAGCTACATATTCACCTAGTGAACAGTCATGCAGGTTTTTAATCGAATTGCATGCAAAATATATGCCTGCACTTTCCATTATCTTCAAGGTACAGATCATTGCTGTAGTATACAAATATGCATGAAATTTTACAAGTATATGTTGCAAGCTGCAACACTACTTTAAGTGTTTGGGTATAATGTATTTTAGAAGATGATGCATAAAATGCATTCAATAGCTAACATCTTATGCACAAACATAGCAACTTAACCAAGATAACAGTTGACCATCATTATAGAACACCTTCAAAGAAATCTAATGATAATTTAACTCATGAAGTAGCACAATTATTTCTCAAGTTACAAATCCAACCTTCAGGTCAGGAGGGGGGTTATCCACATGTGTGCTTATATTTTTTATTTTTATACATATATATATATATGTATATACACACACACACACACACACTCCTTATTTTTTCCCTCTCTAATCCCTTCACCACTTCTGCAAAACTTCTTGCAAATTGGAAACAKGAGACATTCATTCTTTTAAGTCCACGTAGACCTTAATTTCTACAAGATTCAAGATATATTTCAGTTCTGCTTATTTCTGCTTATTCTTCCAAAAACAAAATGCACAGCTCTTACCAGTTTGTAACACGAAGCATGTATAAGATTCCCTTTCCATGAATACTTGCACTGATACACAAAAGTTAGTAAAGTATCACATGAAGTAATGAAGCCCAGAAAAAAACACCGTACAGTTTACATTTCTTTCTTTCCTTCTTTGCATTTTTCATTCTCAGAAGTGTGTGATTTCTGGTAAATATACAGCACCTTACTGTGCATGAAGCACAATGATTGGAGTAGACAATCCAGGAAGTAAAACTCCGTGAAAATGTGACACCCAGAGAATGTGCCGATTTTGATGCTTTTCAAAATGTATGAATAAGCTTATTTAACAAAATACTCTTCTTAGAGACTTACAGCTCTGCAGTTTACAACTCTRTTTTAAAACTGTACATTGACCTTACTCAATTCCGACCTTTCAATTACTCCAGAAGGACTAATCCAACAAAGCCTCACTCACTTCCATAGACCTTCACCGATGAGTACTAATTTGCCCAGACAATGTAACATCTCCATGCCTCTTCTGCAGTTTATAAAATCACTCATCTAGCAATCTAAAAACACTGCAAGTTTGTCACAAGGTATTCGGTGCTCAGCTATTAACTACAAAGGTTAATGCTCGACATAAGGCTAGAACCAGGAAAATGAGATTCCAGTGCTCACAGACAATTTATGCAGCATGAGAGCTCAACGCTCTTGCACAACCGTATACCAAGGAAGGGATAAAGGACAACTCTTCCTCAGCATCTACTGTGACTAACAGACTTAATTACCCTGCGCTCTCCAATTTCCCTCCAAATCAAAGTGGTGAAGATCTCCCAAACTTTCACAAGCCTCAACAAAATCTGGGTCAGTCTCTATGAGAAAATACCTAAGTTATTGTCTCCAACTTCTAAGTTGTATCAGGTAGATTCCATTTTTATCAAACTTTTCTGAAGTTAAAGAAAAGAACAGGAAAATCCTGGCAAACCACAGACAAACTTTTTTACAACGTTGCTGAAAATTCACCTGCAAGGAAAACACAAAAGCAGTAAATTGACATCTCCCTCATCTCTTTCCATTTTCCAGAGTTGAACTGACAAGCTCCAGGCAGCCTTTATGACAGGAGAGGACCCAAAGATGCCACTGTTTCTCAGTGGGTAAATTTGCTCACATTGTAAGAAACAAACAAGAAGGCAGAAGTCCAGGTTACGAGAGCAAACCAAAGCACCACAGGAACCCTGTGCTGTAGATTCCTGTGGGTAAAGGAACTCGGATCTTCAAGACGGTATTCCCCATCTGTTAGGCACACACTTCCAGCACATCCTAGACAGTCATGCATTGCCTTCCCCTGAGGCTGTGATGCCTGCTTAGGGCATGCTGCTCTCAACTGAGGATGCTAGAAAAGAAAAATAACTTGGAGATGAACAGACTCATCATCGCATCTCAGGACAACTCTCCAAGGTCAATCCTTCTTCTGATCTATTCCAGGAGTGAATCAGCCCTTAGCATATCCATTTCTAAGAAAACATTCTTGAATTTTTTTTTAGGGCTTGTGCAATAACCCTCAGCCATACAACAGCCTCTAAAATGAAGAGTAAAGCAAGTCCTTATAGAGTAGATGACCAATACAAAATGTGTCTGTGTATTATTATTTCTTCTAGCTACACATTAACAAATCTTGCTGCCCTTTTTAATAACTGCATTTATACTACAGAGACACAGTTCCACATGCAACAAGGAGCTGTAAAGAGGACAAGAATCTTGCTGAATGGTTAGGCACAATGTCTTTGCTATCGAAGCTTTTTCATTTCATTAATATTTCACTTTTATATATTCCTCAGCTGCTTTTACAGCATGTTCCTTTCTCCCCTTTTTAAGTATGAGCAAGAAGAACTGTTTGAAGTAACTAGTAGACCTTGCCTCACACCCCTCCCTTTTTGCCCCTTGAGAGTTTAACACTTCAAGTGCAATATATATGCGATAGAAAAACACATCTRGCATAGAAAAGGATAAGAAAGATGAGAAGAGATTTTTCAAGCCTCCCTTTCAGTTATATTCAACTACAAAAGTGCAAAAAAAAAAAGAAAGTAAGTTTAGCACAATTCCCCTCTGTGCCGAGGTGCTTACTGACAATCTCAGAGGAGACAGATGCCACATTGCAGAGGAAGCTCCCTTCTCCAAGGGAAAGCAGAACTACCAGGTTCCACAGCAAGGCTACTCCTTGTAACTTTCCCTTCCTTGCAAGGAAGTCAAAGATCAGTCAAGCTCTTCCAGCCCGGGTAAACAATGTAACAATTACGAGGAGAAAACCATTGGCTTTATTAGCTTTCCAAAAACATCTTGCACAATAAGCAGCACCATCTCCTTCTGCTCCACCTTTTTTTTTAAGTGTCCCGAGCATTTTTTGGAATGCACTGGCAGCAACCTCCAGCTCCTGCCTCCAAATTCAAATGCATGTGAAGGCTATACACACACACTGCCACCCGGTGCTCTCGCCCTACCCGTTCAGATATTTCTGACAGCCCCACAGGTTAACTACAGAGTCCTTGATAGGCGAAAGAACAGAAWTACCTCTCAGTCATCTGCAGCAGGAAGGCAGGAGCTGCAGCACTGGCTCCCCTCTGCGTGCTCTGCCACAGCCAGGCCCCGGCGAGCCTGCAACGTTCTCGGGGCCTCCCTCCCCAGCTGCGGGCCAGGCCGGGGGAACCCCAGGTGACACCTGCGGCCGCGGCGCCGCCGCCCGCCCGGCCACAAAGCGGTTTGTGCCGGTGCCACCCCCGCCTCCTTCCCCCGCGCCGCGATCTCTAATCCCGGGGATCGCAGCGCGGCTGCCGGGGATCAGCGCGGAGCTGCGGCACCGGCAGCGCCGACCCGCCCCCGGCTGCCGCCCCGCGGCGGGGAAGGGAAGGCAGGGGCTGCAGCCGCCCGCAGCACTCCCGAGCCCGCCGGGGGGACAGCGAGGGGAGGTGTCCCCAACCGCCGCGCGCCCCTAACGGCCACGGGCGCCCCAACCAATAGCGGCGCGAGCCCCGTAACGGCCGCAAGC